ATCCAGATGGCCAACAGACACATGAAACGATGCTCAGCATCCCTCCTCATCAGGGAAATACAAATCAAAACCACACTGAGATACCACCTCACACCAGTCAGAGTGGCTAAAATGAGCAAATCAGAGAACTCTAGATGCTGGCGAGGATGTGGAGAAACGGGCACCCTCCTACACTGTTGGTGGGAATGTAAACTGGTACGGCCCCTCTGGAAAACAGTGTGGAGGTTCCTCAGGAAACTTAACAACAGAACTCCCCTATGACCCAGCAATAGCGCTGCTAGGAATTTGCCCAAGGGATACAGAAATGCTGAGGCACAGGAGCACGTGTACCCCAATGTTCATAGCAGCACTCTCAACAATAGCCAAACATGGAAAGAGCCTAAGTGTCCATCAATGGACGAATGGATCAAGAAGATGTGGTTTATCTATACCGTGGAATACTACATGGCTATGAGAAAGAATGAAATCTGGCCATGTGTAGCAACATGGATGGAACTTGAGGGTATTACGCTGAGCGAACTAAGTCAAGCAGAGAAGGACAGATACCATATGTTTGCATGTATAGGAGGATTAGGAGGAACTTAACGGAGGACCATGGGGGAGAAGAAGGGGGGGAAATAGTGGGGGAGAGGGAGAGAGGCAAACCATGAGAGACTCTTGAATGCTGAGAACAAACAGGGCTGATGGGAGTGGGGGGAGGGGAAGGGAGGATGATGGGCATGGAGGAGGGCACTTGTGGGGATGAGCACTGGGTGTTATATGGAAACCAACTTGACAATAAACCATTAAAAAGATGCGGGAGAAGAAAAGCTAAAATGATATAAAAAATTCTGAAACTTTCTATTCATACATTTCACATGGTATAGTACGGAGTCTGTATATTTAATAAGTTGTAATAGTAAAGTGAATTAAGAGGTTTCCCACAGGTACTGTTTTGAATGAAGAACAGAGAAAATTGTTGATAAAGTATGTAGCTTAGGGGTGGAATATGTTCTGTGAGAAGCATACAAATACCTTTGTACAGATTGGCAGTGAGCAAGGTCAAGCTTTAAAGGCCTACTTGGGGCAAGTTGTTTATCCTTAGAAAACTTGAATGTTCTTATCTCTAATACTGAGCCTGCATAGGGCTTCACACTGATATGTGGAGCCTGCTTGGGATTCTCTCTTCCTCTCTCTCTGCCCCTCCCCCACTCATGCACTCATGTTCTCTCTCTCTCTCAAAATAAACAAACTAAAAAAACTAGTAGCAGTTGGCATAAACAACATGGACAAATCTCCATGATTTGAGTGAAGGAACCATGTAAGAGAACCTGCTGTATGCTTCCATTTAAGTACAACCAGAATCTTGGTAGAAAGCAAATCAGTTTCCTAAAGACCATGGTGTGGTTCTAAGGATGGATTTCAAGAGGAAACTTGAGGTGATGGGTTTTTTAATCTCTAGCACGTGGGAACTGTGACCCTAGTTGACAGAGAATTTGGAAGAATTACCTTCAGATGACTAGTCTGATTTTCAATTAGGTACCCAAAGTCAGAACACCTTAGTGAAATGCCTTGAAGACACAGTCAGGTAAGTCACGCCTGGCAAGTTAGAAGGACTTTTTTGACATTGGCTTAAAAAATTCAGGAGAGCTTCTGTAAGGACATCAATAGGTTAAGAATCAGTTGGAAAACCATTATGTGGGAAGCCTGGATTAGACTGAACTAACTTGTCAATATATTCTGTAAGGTTAACAGTATTACATACTAAAAATAACCAGAATGTCCCATGAAAGGGGATGGAGGGGGCAATGTAGATGGAAAAATCCTAAATAAAATGGTAAATCTAATCCAGTTCTATACTGGAAGATAAAACACGATGACCAGGTTGGGAGTTTATCCCAGGAATGCAAGTTTGTTCTAGTATTCGTGCACGATTGAAGTTCTTCAGATTGAAGAGGAAGAAAGTCCGTAATCCTGATAAAACACCATTGATACAATTTAACACTTAAGCTAGGAAAAGAAGAAATTGTAACTTGATAAAAGCTATCTCCCTATGCCTAACATCACATGGTGAATGGTTAATGGCAAAGCTTTAGAAACTTGTAAGGTCATGAACTAGAGAAGAATGGACCACAATTATTACGAATTCATTTCAAGGTCTCAGCCTGGTGCACTCAAGCCAAATAAAGCTAATTACGGGAAGGAAAAAGAACTCATTTACATAAGAAAATCCCAAGGCAACTAGAAACGAATTAAGTGGCTGGATTTAAAAATAACCCTAAATTAATTGCTTTTCTATACACCGGTATAGACAAGTTTAAAAACAGTGGGTATGGTGGGGGGGGGGGGGAAGAGATCTGGGGAAGAAAACAAAGTGTTACTAAGAGATGTCGAAAAAATAGTCTAAAAAAGTTCTTGAACTTCATGTGTCTCTTCCTGCCTTTCTTGGAGTTCTTTGTAAAACACAGAAACTAACCCTCTGTGCCATGAACAAAAATGGGATTCATTGGAAGACTGCAAAGGCCCCAAGGAAGCAGAAACCAGAGCGGCACTGGGGCCCCCGTAGCAGGTGCTAATCGCCATCGTCTTAGTGCTGTTCCATCGCCCCTTTCCTGAGATGGCAAGATTGGCGTAGCCCGGCTAACGTCACCCTTCCGCGGAGGGCAAGATGGCATGGTTGGCAGTCTCTTAAGACTATACTCTGGGCAAGATAGTCCCGCAAAAGAAACTGAAGTGTCATCAGAAGGAAACGCTGATTCTAGTGAGTCAGAGCGCCACACACGTCCACACACAGCCTTAGGGCCCTTGGCTTTGTTTAGAAAACCACCCGGTGCCCACCCTGCCTCTTCCAAGATACCTCAGCCGAATTTTAGGTTTTAGCTAATGAGGTCATTAGGTCAACCAAGAAGGATAGGAGTTGGTTTGCCTGAGCTCATAACTGAGGTGTGTGTTGTGTATTTACCAGAGCAGCACCCCAGTAGGGTCGCAAGCTCCTTTTTTACCTTAAATGTTTTATTTATTCTTGAGAGAGAGAGAAAGACAGCATGAGCAGGGGAGGGGGGTTAGAGAGAGAGGGAGACAGAATCCGAGGCAGGCTCCAGGTTCTGAGCTGGCTGTCAGCACAGAGCCCGACGCGGGGCTCGAACCCACGAACCGCGAGATCATGACCTAAGCGAAAGTCGGATGCTGAACCGACTAAGCCACCCAGGCGCCCCCCCTGCATTCAAATTCTTAACTGGAGTTCACTTCTAGGGGAACTCAAATGTTGGGGAGGGATGAGGGTGTAAGGAGCAACCAAGGAAAGTAAAGTAACTGATGGCTGTTACAACTTTGGTAAACCAGTTCCAAATGTAAAGCTTAGCATACAGATGCCTCAAGGCCCAAGTCATCCTTTTATTTTACCGCTTTCAACTTCCAGGTGAGCCGGAGTGCAGAGGAATTTGAATACAACAGTAGAGTGAGGCTGCCTTACAAGCTACGCTTCTGTAGAGAAGATGTTAACCAAAGTTCACTAAGCACTGTCAGAAGAGGGGCCACAGCAACTTCCGGTTAAACATGTGCTTCAAACCCAGCCATTTAGCTCCTCTGTCTCCCTAGGCCCCATTAAAAATGACAATAATCGAAAAATAAAACCAAAACGGGAGGTATCACCATCCCAGACTTTAGCCTCTACTACAAAGCTGTCATCATCAAGACAGTATGGTA